ATGAGGACCCTCCCTCCTGAGTAACTTTTTCCACTTTAACTCTCCCTTTCCTTTTCCTAATGCTACGAACAGGACTGCTTTTACAATTAGGAAACTTCAGACCCATAATGTGGAATATTTTGGATCAAACATTTCTTATCAGGAAAGTTGATAATCTAAAAATCACACTAATGAGGCCAACGGGATTCAGCTGAAATGTAACCTAACATTTGAGATTTGTGTATAAATGAGATGTACTGCCACAAATTTAAAATGTGAGTGAAACAAGTTTGAAACAAACATTGTAGCAATAATAGCCTGAAAGATCGCCATGCAAGGTGAGAGAAACACAAAACAGCATAAATAGGGATGCTGACTTTTAACAATGTTAGAGACTTTAATGAATGTCTGCAAGATAAGTGGACACTATCCCTTTTACAGAAAAATACCAGGTGCTATCTATGAGGTTCCCTGCTAGGTAACCTAGCAAGGGCTAGTGATCTGAAGAAGACAAAAGGGAGACTAGAAACTTGGGCATGGATAAGCAAAATAGAATTCAGCTGGAGGAAAAGGCACAGGTGTTTTAAAACAATGTTTCTCGGTGTCTTGCTGTCTTTCGAGACAGTGTGGTACTTTTCTAGAAAATTTATTTTAGAGAAACAACTTAGCAGGCTCAAAGGGGTAACTGGGTGAAAGTTTGTGGCTTGTGATATCTCAGAGGTTAGGGTAGATGATCTAATGGTCTCATCTCACCTTAAATTCGGGGGAGGGGGGGAGGAGAGGAAGGAACAAGCAACTAATACCTTTACAGAAAAACAATCAAATCCAGATACTGAAAGCCAAGGAGAAACCTAGAATGTGTGTGTAAAATAGAACATGGCAGCAAAACAGGCCATGGCAATTTTGGCAGGGAAGGAAGCAAGAGGTCCCAGGCAATAAAGTGCCTGCTTTTCTAGATGAGGCTTTGTGTTGATCATACTTAGGATAGTACATAAGAACACTGTTTTACTATTTTCTGAATGGAAGTAATAGGGGCCCTATCATAGCAGAGGTTTAAAACTGACTCTACAAGGTGCTAGCTTGAAAATGTTTGTGAATGGTCTAATGTTTTAATGACTCATCCAATTGTTTGAGGTCAGTAACTAAGAAGCTGGCCTCTGTTTCAGACATGAGGAAAACACTGAGGCAGCGAACTGTAGGTGGGATTTAGACAGGCTGATAAGATAATTTGATTGGACAACTGAGCACTCACTTGGTATAGAATTAAGGTGTTGAAAACAAAGGTATTCAAGGCAGCCCAGATATGAAGACTGTTTAATTGCCTATGTACCAAAGCTAGCAGTTTTGATAATGAGAGAAGAATCAGAATTGTTTACATAGGAGCATAAAATAGATCTACCTGGTATTATTGAAACCCAGTGAGAGACTTACAAGATGAGAATGTTAGCATCACTGGTAATAACCGATTTAGGAAGTGCAGTGTAGGCAGGAGGCTAGAGGAGAAGGCACTCTGTCAAAAATGCAAACCACTGTCAATGACTCTGAAGCAAATGATATTGAATGCTGACAAAGTGTAATTATAGACTCACAGAACACTAGGACTGGAAGGGACCTCGAGAGACATCTAGTCCAGTCCCCTGCCCTAGTGGCAGGACCAAATACTGCCTAGACCATCCCTGATAGACATTTCTCTAACCTACTCTTAAATATGATTCCACAACCTCCCTGGGCAATTTATTCCAGTGTTTGACCACCCTGACAGTTAGGAACTTTTTCCTAATGTCCAACCTAAACCTCCCTTGCTGCAGTTTAAGCCCATTGCTTCTTGTTCTATCCTCAGAGGCCGAGATGAACAAGTTTTCTCCCTCTTCCTTATGACACCCCTTTAGATATCTGAAAACGGCTATCGTGTCCCCCCTCAATCTTCTCTTTTCCAAACTAAACAAACCCAATTCTTTCAGCCTTCCTTCATAGGTCTTGTTCTCTAGACCTTTAATCATTCTTGTTGCTCTTCTCTGGACCCTCTCCAATTTCTCCACATCTTTCTTGAAATGTGGTGCCCAGAACTGGACACAAGACTCCACCTGAGGCCTAACTAGAGCAGAGTAGAGCGGGAGAATGACTTCTCATGTCTTGCTCACAACAGACCTGTTAATGCATCCCAGAATCATGTTTGCTTTATTTGCAACAGCATCACACTGCTGACTCATTCAGCTTGTGGTCCACTATAACCCCTAGATCCCTTTCTGCTATACTCCTCCCTAGACAGTCGCTTCCCATTCTGTGAGAGAGAAAATGGAGTATTAGTTGGTATCTGCTGCAGGATGACCATAGATACATTACCCTGGAGGACAGTCTCATACTACCATTATTAACCCTGAAATTCCTAAAATTATAAATAGCACCCAACACAGAAGAATTCTATTTTAGACCTCATGTTGACGGAGAAACTAATCTCATATAAAATTTAGTGGTTACATAAATGCAAATCATGACGACAACACGATCATATTATTTGCACATAATAAAGTCTAAGCCAGATATATAAACACAACTTGGCACTTGAATAGAGCCAGTTTCATAAATCTGGACATAATCATGAGCCACATTAGATGAAAAGTTTTACACAAAAAAGAGGAATAAATGGAACTAACACTTTCCTATAGACTCTGAAACCTACAAATGAGAAAAATATTACACTGAATTAAACCCCCTCTCCTCCCCCCCCCCACAATTGGCTTAGAGGGAAAGTGAAAGAAGGAATAAAAATATTGCAAATGGAAAAAAGGGGATGTTGAGAGAAATTAATATAAATTAGAAGCTAGGAACTGCAGAAAATTGGTAAGGGAAGCAAAAGAACGCAAGAACATAAGTATGACCAGCAGAGTCATGGTCTGTTGGTCCATTTCTAGCTGGAAATGGTAGAACTATCATAGAAGAAAAAGCAGAAAAATTAAATAGATATTTGTTTCATATTTGAGGCATGTCATCGGGAGGTATGCTGCCTACCAGGGCCCATATCAGAGACATTATGAAGGCATTGTTGAGGATTATCCAGCCCTCTGACTACTACCTCTATGTGGGCACTAACGATACTGTAAGGTGTGACACTGAGTAGATCAAGAGTGATTATAGGGCTCTGGGATCACGGGTGTAGGAGTCTGAAGCACAGGTGGCATTCTCAGTCTTTCCTGTCAAAGAGGGCTCAGGTAGAGACAGGTGCATCCTGAAGGTGAATGCCTAACTGCAAAGATGGTGTAGCCAGGAGGGCTTTGGCTTTCTCGATTACGGGATGCTATTCCAACAAGGACTGCTCAACAGGGATGTGGTTCACCTTTCAAGGAAAGAGAAGACCGTATTTAGAGGCAGACTGGCTCATCTAGTGAGGAAGCTTTAAATTAGGTTCAACGGGGACAGGTGACCAAAGCCCACAGGTAAATGAAGAACATGGAGACCTGGGAGATGGGTCGGAAGTGGGAGGGAGCATAGGCTATAATAGCAGAGAAAAAGGCGGAACAAGGCAGAACTGGGAGGCAAAGTCAAATCAGTATCTTAGATGCTGATATAAAAATGCAAGAAGCATGAGTAATAAACAGGAAGAACTGGAAGTGCTAACAAACACAATGGTGACATTGGTATCACAGAGACTTGGTAAGATAATACACACAATTGAAATATTGATATAGAAGGGTACAGCTTACTCAGGAAGGATAGGTGGGGAAAAAAGAGGGTGGCGTTGCCTTATATATTAAAAATGTATATACTTGGACTGAGATGGACATAGGACACAGATTTGTTGAGAGTCTCTGGATTAGGCTAAAAGCGGTAAAAAAACGAGTGATGTCATGCTAGGGGTCATCTATGGATAGAGAAGGCTTTTTTTAAACAACTAACAAACAATCCAAAGTGCAGGATTTGGTGGTGATGGGAGACTTCAACTATCCAGACATCTGTTGGGAAACTAGCATAGCAGGGCATAGACTGTCCAATAAGTTCTTGGACTGCATCAGAGACAATTTTATTTTAGAAGGTTGAAAAAGCTACTTGGCAAGGGCGGGGAAGCTATTCTAGATTTGATCTTAACAGAGAGGGAAGAGCTGGTTGAGAATTTGAAAATGGAAGGCAGGTTGGGTGAAAGTGATCATGAACTCAGAGATCTACCATTCCTTAGAATCAAGAAGGGAGAACAGCAAACTAGAGACAATAGATTTCAGGAAGGCAGATTTTGGGAAGCTCAGAGCTGGTAGGCAAGACTAAGGGGAAAAACAACTGAAGAGAGATTTTTTTGAAAGGGACATTATTAAGGGCCCAAAAGCAAGCTATTCCTTTGCATAGGAAAGATATAGAGTATGGCAAATCCACCTTGGCTTAATCAAGAGATCTTGCATGATCTGTATATAGGGGCAAGATTAGAAAGGCAAAGGCACAAAATGAGCTCCAACTAGCTACAGACAAAGAATAACAAGAAGACATTCTATAAATATATTAGAAGCAAGAGGAAGACCAAGAACAGGGCAGGTCCATTGCTCAGCGAGGAGGGAGAAACAGTAACCAGAAATTTGGAAATGGCAGAGATGTCCCAGGAAAGATAATGGAGCAAGTAATTAAGGAATTCATCTGCAAGCACCTGGAAGATAATAGGGTGATAGGTAACAGGCAGCATGAATTTGTAAAGAACAAATCACGTTAAACCGATAGCATCCCTTTCTTTGATAGGATAACAAGTCTTGAGGATAAGGGAGAAGGAGTGGACGTGGCATACCTAGACTTTAGTAAGGCGTTTGATACAGTCTCACATGATCATCATATCAATAAACTAGGCAAATACAACTTAGATGGGGCTACTAGAAGGTGGCTGCATAGCTGGCTGGATAACCATTCTCAGAGAGTAGTTATTAATGGTTCACAATTTTGCTAGAAAGGAGTAACAAATGGGGTTCTGCAGGGGTCTGTTTTGGGACTGGTTCTGTTCAATATCTTAATCAACAATTTGGTTATTGGCCTAGAGAGTACGCTTATTAAGTTTGCAGATGATACCAAGCTGGGAGGGGTTGCAGCTGCTTTAGGGGATAGGATTATAATTCAAAAGGATCTGCACAAACTGGAGAACTGGTCTGAGGTAAATAGGATGAAGTTTAATAAGGACAAATGCAAAGTGCTCCACTTAGGAAGGAACAATCCATTTCATACATACAGAATGGGAAGTGACTGTCCAGGAAGGAATACTGCTGAAAGGGATCTAGGGGTTGTGAAAGCAGGCTCTTTGCTGGCCAGGCCTCTCGTGCGTATTGCCATCCAAGCAAAAGGTCAACTTCCCCTTGATGAAAACCCTTACACTATGTAACTTAAAGATCAGCGATGAACAGGAACCAAAACCAGACCCGTAAAGTTCGTGCTGGTTGTGCTGACTGTGCCATGCCCGATAAGGCAGAAAAGGAAAAACAGGAAACCATCTCACCCCCTTACCCCTGTCACTTAGCAGACAGGGTCTGCTAGCCTATCACAAAAAGCGCGCAAAAGCTTTCTCTATAAAACAGCTTCCCCTCCTGTATCAAATTGAGGAATCCCGAATAAACATTGGATGGTGGAATATGAGCCAGGTCCGAGGACTGATCACCTGAGGGCCACCTCCCGCTCACCGAACCAAACGAGTTCCTGTAGAGCGTAACGTATACCAAACATCAAATATGCTGTTGTTGTAGGTTGTGTGTCTGTTAAATGTAAGTATTGTAATCTGAAATTGTTTAGAGGTATTAAGTAGTAGTGTTATAAGTAAGACTGATGTAAATGTAACTGTTAATAATCCCTAGTCCCTTGTTAACAACTATTGGGATTTAGAGAAACCTCAAAGAATTTTCTTCACTGTATTGCATTTTGTTTATTGGACATTCTAATAATTATTTAGTGCCTACGTATGTAAGAAATTGATAAAATCATAATTTATACGTAGAAGCCCTTTAATAAAAGTTTAAAAGATATTTAGTAATAGTTTGCCTGTTTCTGCGCCTTCCTGGGACTAGCCACATTTCCAAACCTTTTACTTTAAACCACAGGGGTCATAGTGGACCACAAGCTAAATGAGTCAATAGTGTGATGCTGTTGCAAAAAAAGCAAGTATGAACCTGGGATGAATTAACAGGAGTGTAATGAGCAAGACACAAGAAGTCATTCTTCTGCTCTATTCTGCGCTGATCAGGCCTCAATTGAAATATTGTGTCCAGTTTTGGGCACCACAAGAATGATGTGGAGAAGGTCTAGAGAAGAGCAACAAGAATGATTACTGCTCTAGAGAACTTGAGCTATGAGGGAAGACTGAAAGAACGGAACTTGTTGAGTTTGGAAAGGAGAAGACAGAGGGGACATGAGAGCCATTTTCAGGTATCTAAAAGGGTGTCATAAGGAGGAGGGAGAAAAATTGTTCTCCTTGGCCTCTGGAGAAAGAACAAGAAGCAATGGGCTTAAACTGCAGCAAGGGAAGTTTGGACATTGGGAAAAACTTCCTAACTGTCAGGGAGATTTAACACTGGAATAAATTGCCCAGGGAGGTTGTGGAATCTCCATCACTGGAGATATTTAACAGCAGGCTAGACAGACGTCTATCAGAGATGGTGTAGATGGTGCTGGGTCCTGCTGCGAGGGCAGAGGACTGGACTCGATGACCTTTTGAAGTCCCGTCCAGTTCTATGATTCTGTGAAAAGGCAGATAATGTTGTCATGTCACATGGTGGTGATTAAATATTTTCCATTCTAACAGTAATTCAGGAGGATATTAGTATCTGCTGTTTAAGTAATTTTTAATAAATAGGTCCAGATTTAAAAAACAAAGCTCTTAACTTGCAGTTATGGTAACTGATGAATTCTCTGGGCCATTAATTTTGATTTAAGTCTTAGGGACACTGAGATGGTTCCAGAGGACAAGAAGAAAGTTCATGGGTCAGTATTTATAGAGAGTAAATGGGATGACTTGAGCAATAGGTCTTTCAGCCGGATATTGATTCTGGGCAAAATATCGGAATGGTTGTTAAGGGACTCTTAATAAAAAGAATTACAGGAGGGCAATACAATTAGTGTCAGTCAACATGGGTTCATTGGAAATAAATTCTGCCAATCTAATTTGGGGTACGTCTAGACTACCGCGTTTTGTCGACGGAAGTTTTGTTGACAGATACTGTCGACAAAACTTCCGTCGACAATTTGCGTCCAGACACATGGAGTTCTGTCAACAAAGCAAGCCGCTTTGTCGACAGAACTCCGTAGTCTGGACGCAACGTTACAGGCAATAACACCTTCTGTCGACAGAACTCTGTCGACAGAAGGTGTTTTGCCTCGTAAAATGAGGTATACCAGCGTCGACAAAACCGCGGAGTTCTGTCGACGTTATGTCGACAGAACTCCGCGGTAGTGTAGACGCTGGTATTGTTTTGTCGACAAAAGTCCACTTTTGTCGACAAAACTAGGTAGTCTAGACACACCCTTGGTATGGTTTTTTAGATAAGTTTAATTACATCAACACTATATTATCAAGGCAGTTGATGTGTTACTGTGGAACATGTGGTTAAAAAACCCCAAAAGATAAAATCAACCCTGCACACATTATATTGATTAAAAACTGGCTAACTGAACAGGGAATAATAATGAACCAGATACATTTCCAGTGCTGCTCTGCAGGAATTGGTTCTTAGAACTACCCTGTAACAATTTTATAAGTCACCATTCTAAAAGAAAAACTGAGTTTGTAGATGATAAAGACAGGGAGTGATAAATAAGAGGACAGATCACTGATCGGGATTTCCATATCATGGTAAGACTTGATGCAAGCAAATAAGCATTTCAATGTGGTGAAATGCAAACGTGTACATCTAGGAATAACGAGCATAGGCCAATTTACACAGTAGGAGGGTCTACCCTGAGAAGCTTGATTCTGAATGATTTTGAGGGATGAGTGCATATTGAATAAGCAAGTGAACATGAGCTCTGTGTAATGCAAGGGCCAGAACCAGCTAGTGTAATCATTTTATGAACAGGGGAATATTGACATATGAATATGGAAAAATGTTACTGATATGTCCTATCCATTCACAATGGAATATAAACCTACTAGGGTGCCTTGTGGAACAGAATTAGAGAGCAAAAACTACTTACAGGTTTGAGCAGGATAAAGGATTGAGCCAACAGATTACTTAGGAAATGATCATGAGCCAATCGGATGCTCTCAAAATCCCGTGTGGAGTTTATCTGTAGCAGAAGCTGTGAGAACTGAGACTCCAGCACATCCACCTGATAGGCAGGTAAAGAAATCTCATTAGCACTGCTCTTCCTTACCTGTTGGGAGCAATTTCATCTCTGCCTAGCCTCCTCAATTTGCCTGCAGCATGACCTAGAGAAACCCCCCACAAGTGCCCTATCCCAGATGAGTCACCTTATCTAGGGTCTGATTTACTTGTTAGACCTTGTCAAAAATTGTCCATTTTCTGTCCTCCCCATCATTCCTCTGCCTTGACATTTCTAAACCAGTTAAAATTCTTACAACTTTTAAATCCTGTTAAATATATTTAATTTAAAAAAAAATTCTCACCCATGCTTTTTTCCTCCGGGGAAATCATGAAACACTGGATTCTAAAGCAGGGTTAGCAATTTATTTTCTCAGTCTTTTAGTTAATCACGTAACATTTCAAGAGAGTCACAAAGTTAATTTGCTCCTTTGTGGCTTTTGCCCAAATTCTGGAAGCTAACTGAGTCCTATACTGTTGTCATTAGCAGTTCCCATCTCTGCATTCAAGAGGCACAGAGACTGCCCAATTAAGCTAACTGGAGAGGATACCAGATACGAGGTTGGGGAAATTAAATATTTTTTCATTTTATCTCTTGAGTGGAGGGTTCATAGTCATTTTCTTTTAATGTTCATGAGAATTTTTATGTAGTTATATTTAACAACAAAAAAACCCCAAATACCCCAACAAGAAACTCCCCCTTTAATTTCACAAGCGCTAGGGTGATTTTTAAGAGCAAATAGTCTCACAAAAATCTGGCACTAGAAATTAAACGTTTACCCTTTGAAAACAGCAGTTTCAAACTCAGATGTTTAAAGCAGTTGTTTTCAACCTTTGCAGACCCCTAAAAAATTTGGTGTTATGCCCCTTTGAAACTCTTTGTGGACCATCAAGGGTCCACAGATAATAGATTGAAAGCTATTACTCTGTGGTAACACAGTCTACTGAACCCTCAGACAGTCTCTAACCCTCAAGGTCCATGAACGACATGTTGAAAACCACTGGTTTACAACACTTTCTAATAATGCTCGAAACGGCAGCCACTAAACTCAGGAGGCTGCTGAATTTAGAGGAGAGAAAGGCAGGGTCCATCCACCACCATCCTGGCTAGCTGTGAACACTAGGTATCACTGGAAAGCTGGAATTCTTGCATAGCATTAAATGACTGTGCTGCTGGCTCATAAGACTGCGAACTTTGATGGCTTCTGGTCCCTCAGCTCAGCAGTTCTGCTCTGGCACCAGTCCAGGAACTAGTAGCTCTTGCTTTGCACTTTTTAGTTCTTGCTCTCCACCCTTTTCTATGTACTACAGCAAACTCCCCAGGAAATAATCTAAGTCTTGCTGTAGAGGACTTAGGTGCCTGCTCAGTGCCTCCCCTTCTTTTCCCTCTTCCTGCTTGTCCGCCTAAAGGACACGTCCTTTTCTGCACCCCGACCTGCAGATAGTACTGAAGATTATCCACAAGGAAGGCCATGTGATCCCTCAGACGCCACTTGATGGCATCAGTTCTGTTGGACTTCAGGTGCTTGCGCTGCATCTGGAGAGCCCAGCAGTGCTGCAGCTCAGCTTGGACCCTCCGCACACTCAGCAGATATTTGAATACAACGTTGTATCTGCAGCCAAAACAAGTATCAACCAGTCAAGATGTACAAAGGCTTTCCTGGAGCCCACATCCCGTACCAGACAAAGACATGAGACAAAAAGCAGGAGAGCCGCACAGCAATGAGCAGAGCAGGTAAAGGGCATTACCTATCCCTGTACCTAGAAATGCTCTGTCTCCTTAACGGAGATAAACTCATGGTGTAGCCAAGAATAAAAAGTATCAGCTATATTGAGGGTAGAGTATCAGTGTTGTAACCCAAAGCCTACTGACCTCAGGTCATTAATAGATAGCTTAGTCAAACAGGGCCTCAGGCTTAGAAATAGGCTAACATGAGTAACTAATAGATGAGTGACCCTGTGTCACAAGGTGGAGCAGTCACAGGAACAGCAGTGTTAACCACTGACATTGCAATTTAAAGCTGGTTCCAGTATTGTAGGGATTTCTGAAGCTGTAGGGTATCAGTACAATGCTACCCACAAGTTGTTACAGTGACTGAGGAATGTAAATGGGTACAAAGGGAGCTAATGAGTTAGCCTACAGAAAACAGGACACCCCACATTTAGAGGAGTGTGGAAACGAGAGAGAGATATATGAAGCCTTTGTAAATGTGTATGAATTTGAGTGGGCCTCAGCCTTACGCATTATAAAAGCTGTATCTCAGCCTGGGTACTATGGGAGATACCACAACACTACCCACTGATGGGGAAAGGGAGATCATAATGGACACTCCACGGTTCCCTGCTGTTACGGGGATAAACACTTTTCCCTCTACCCGCTGCTGTGTTTCCGAGTTTGTGGTGCTGTTTAGTGGATTTGTAATCCTGGTATTTGTGCTAACTTGCAGTAATTTCTCATGTACACAAGCTCTCACACACTAATGGTACAGTGTGTAACCTTCCTGAGGATCTATTACTCAGGAGACTGAACCCTGAGTGATATCAACCACTGGGGTCTAAGATTAATCATTACACCAATCAGATGACAGCAGTTTTCTGTTAGTGTTTGGCAAGAGTTTCACCATGAGGAAGAAGGACTAGAGCTGTAGATGGACAGATTTTTGGAGGGAGAAGCAAATCTAGCAGTATTTTACTGCACTTGCCCTGACATCAGCAACAAGTGGCCATAATGTAAGGAAGGTGTACAGAGTAATTTGGAGAGCAGAAAGAGGCAATGTAGCCTACATTCACTGTGAAGGACAGAGAATAAATTGCATGCCTGAAGCTTCAGAGGCTAGATGCCTACAGTGAACAGACAAGGATCTGGTACTTACTTCTCCAAGACAGCAGGAGTGAAGAGGATGTGCAGTGGCCACTGCACTTTATAAGACAGACCCAGAGCTGCCCAACCAGATGTGGGGGCTTCACGGGGAGATAACTCCCGGGAAGGTCCTTCACGAGCCTGGGAAGCATCTGGAAAAGAATGGAATTGCTGAACCTTAACCCAGGTGTAGCTTCTAGTGGGGAGAAGACATAACTGGTAAGAAACGAAAGGAGAGAAGGACTGAGAGTACATAGACACGGAGGGCTAAAGTAAAACACGAAAGGAGAGAAGGACAGAGTACATCGACATGGAGGGCTAAAGTTGAGTTGAGAGACGCAATTTCAGCTACGTTGTGTAGCTGAAGTCGAAGTAGCTTAATTCAGCTTTAGGTGTTGTCTACACAGCAGGAAGTGTAAGGAAGAACACTCTTCCTTCGACTTCCCTTACTCCTTGTGAAATGAGGGTTACAGAGGTCGGAGTAAGAAGCCCGTTATTTTGAAATTATTTTGAAAAAACACCCAGGTTTATTATGTACTCTTATTTCAAAGTAACATGAATTATTTAGAAATAAGTGTGCAGTGTAGACATAGCCTAAATGAGAGGCAGCAACAGGGCCTCCAAAAGTACAATGTGGTGTGGAGAAGGAAAGGGAAACTTCTGAGTCATGAAGGCCAAAGAGGACATGCAGCATTTACAAAAGTCTGCAGTATGAATGGAGACAGTGAAGCCAGAACTGCTACCTCCCTGCCCCCAGCAAGCAGACTCGAGTCCATACCTTTATGCTCCTTTCCATGATACTCAATGGTAAGGTGGAGCAAAGGAAGAAGGTTATCATCATCTAGCAACACCTTGTGAGCAGACTGCTGGAAAGCAACATTGACATCTGATAGGGGAAGAAGAATCAATGTCAACAAGAGCATCAACGTGCAAACGACGTCAGTCACAGAGTTATTGCGGAGGCTAGAGGCGGAGAATTCTAAGTCCATAGCAGCTCATGTTGGATTCAAAGGCAGTGTTCTAAATTGCCCCATTAGGGATGTGAATGGTTAACCAGAAAGCCTCACCTTTAACAGCACCCTAAATGGAGTGAGGCTAATTGTTTTAACTGGTGGGGGCTAGAGCAGCCCCCTAGTCTCTGGCAGCCAGGCTCCTGTGGGCCCACCATGGGCAGGAGGCTGCTCTAGTCCAGCCAGAGCAGTGTCTGTCTGCAGGAGCAGGGGTTGGTCCAGGTCTCCTCTCCCCCCCTCCCTTAATCAGTTAACTAATTAAGCAAGATTTTACATTCCTAGTTCTCATGTGTTTCAATGATTCCTGCTTGAGCTTTGGAACTCTGACCTGTCCTACAAGAGATACCTGACAGAGTCAGCAAGAGATGGCCATAACTATTCTGTAGGACATTGCAGTTTGGCAACTTGCATCTCATTGGCTCTAGGAATAAAAGGGGTGCTTTTGCATGCCAAGATAGCAGCTTTTTCTTTCCCATGGCACTACCCAGATGTGCCCTGCTCATGTTTACAAAGTAATTTACCAAATTACTCAGCAATCGTTTGATGAATGAACACAATTTTAGATTCCATTTAGTAGATCTTACTCCTTGGACAGCACAGGATTGCTCTCTACAGCATGCTGTCACTACACCTGTTTAGCTCTGATGTCCTGGAGCCTAGCCAGAGTAATGTTAAGACAGCTGCATGCTACAATGGGAAAATACAGGTTCATCCTTTCTGGTTGCTCAAGAAATTGAACTATACTGGGCAGGGCTTGCTGTCCTCTTGCCGCAGTGGGCAGAGTGAGCAAGTCTTGGCAACTGAATAATGAGTACTCACCATGTTCAGTTACAGCTGTGGGTGGGGTTTTTAACATGTGCTGTGCAGTGTCTATGAAGGCCTGGAACAATTCTCCTCTCCCCAGTAGATAAAAATCCTTAATAATCTGTGAAGAAAAGCTTTTAAATGCAAAATTCTAAAGAACTGAACAAATTCTAAAACGCCGCTTCCTTTTCCTGGTTTGTATTGCCTGCTTTTGTTACTGGACAGGCTACAGTTTGTATAATCCTAAAGAGCCTTGTACAACTTGCATCTCCATAGCAGGATTTCTGGATTTGGAAAGAATCCATCTTAAGGCCCAAAGGCCTGTTATGCTCTGCCATCTCTCCAAGAAACAGACGGCAAAACACACACTTAGGTGAATCTTAGAGAAGGACTGATATAGAAACTAGACACATGTGATCTTAATGAATTTACTATAAGGTGAGGACACGGCTAATTGAAAGAGTACACTCAAAGTAGTTAGCAACAGTTTACTGTCAAACTGGGAGGACATATCTACTGGAGTACTACAAGGTTCACTCTTGGATCTGGAACTCTTCAATATTTTCATTAATGGTTTGGACAATGGAGAGGAGAGTTTAGTTATAAAAGTTACTGATGACACCACAGTGGGAGTGTGTGCAAACACTTTGGGAGGACAGGGTTAGAATCCCAAACAAAACTGACAAATTAGAGAATTGGTATAAAATTAACAATGATATTCAATAAATATTTGTGCAAAGTACTGCACTTAGGAAGGAAAAACTGAATGCACAGCTATGAAATCGGAACTAACTAGCTAGGTGATAATATTGCCCAAAAGAATATTGCTGGAATTGCAGTGGATCACAAACTGAACAGAACCAATGTGATGCAGTTGGGAAAAAGGCAGATATAGCTGGGGTGTATAAACAGGAGTGTCGTGAGTTATGGGAGAATTGTCTTGCTCTGTCTGACACTGGTGAGGCCTCAACTGGAACACTGTGTCTGGTTCTGGGGAGCATACTTCAGGACAGATGTGGAAAAATTTAAGAGAAGTCAGGACAGCAATAAAAATGATAAAAGGTTAAATCTGATCTATAAGGCAAAATTTAAAAAACTGGCCAAGTTTAGTTTTGAGAAAAGAAGATGGGGTGGGGTGGATGGGGATCTAATAACAGGCTTTAGATACATTAAGGCAGTTTATAAAATGGATGGTGATCAACTATTCATGTCCACTGAAGGTAGAACAAGAAGTAAATGGCATTAATCTGAATTAAGAGAGGAGGAATATTCTTCTCGCCATTATAATGGAATAGGCTTCCCAGGGAAGTGGTGAAATTCCCATCATAGGAGCTTTTTAAGAACAGGTTAGACAAATCTGTCAAGAATGACCCAGGTTTACTTGGTCCTACTTCAGAGCAGAGGGCAGCATTTGGTGACTTTAGAGGCCCTTCCCAAGCCTTACAGTTCTCTAATTCTTTGCTTCCATTGGACAAATAACAGCTTTGTCCAATGGAAGCAAACAGAAAAGAGTGATACTGGATTGAAAAGAACTAATTTAAGAAACTCTCAAATTTTTCAGAGAAATGGTTACCTTCAGTTGTCCTAGTAAATCTGATTCTTCTACCATCAGCTTCCATAGGTGCTAAGGAGAAACCAGAACATGCTTATGAGAACCTTGCACTCCAAACTCAGTGTACGTGAGTGGGTTTGGTTAATGGGAACATTAGCTACCACACTCGCAATGCAGTAATTCCTCATTTAACGCGGTAGATAAGTTTCAGAAAATGATCGTGCTAAGTGAAAACGTGTTATGCGGAGTCAATTTTCCCATTGAAAATAATGGAAAAGGTGGGGGTTGTGTTTCAAGCGCACGTGCACTCGCAGCTCCAGCCTGCACTTGTTAGCAGCTGGGACCGGGACCTAAGGTTGCGGGAGAAACGAGACTGGGTTATAGCAGGGAGAGGAGGTGTTTGGCTCTGGGGAAGGGAAGGGAAGTATAGGGGAGGGGGCTTGGGCCTTGCAGCTGGCAGCTGGGTTTCCCCAGCTGGCCGGTCGCTGGCTGCTGCGCGGGGCTTCCCTTGCAAAGCGGTGGAAGTTCACTGGTCACCGTGCCGTTCCCCAGCGACCCCTCCTTGCTGGACACAAGGCATCCAGCCAGAGGGGGTCACCAGGGAACGACGCAGCGAACCTCTGCCACTTTGCAGGGAGGCAGGGGAAGCCCCATGCAGCTGCTGGCAACTGGCCAGCCGGTAGGGGAAATCGTATTATTGCGGTTCATGTTGTTCAAAAAATGTTCCCTAAAAAAAAAAATCATGCTATCGCAAAAACGTGTTAAGCGAGGAATTACTGTACCCGGGAGATAAGCACGGTAAGAAAAAAGCCTACATATAACTGAATCCATCTAATACCTGGGCAAAATAGGAAGAGGGAACATCCTTTTGCTGGTAGTCCATGTTACTAATTAATGACCCCACTAAATCACATCAGCATGATTACCTCCAGCAGCTAACAGCAAACAGGGTTTCTTAAAGATCAGTCAAATACAAGTAGCTATTATAAAACTGTAATGGAGTCAAATTCTGTTTCCAAACCAATTCCATCCCTCCTCCTAGGAAATGTTTGATTCCCACCTACTTTCCTCAGGGGGATGGCTCGGGTAAATATGCAGGACAAGCATTATTCCTTTGAGGTTCCCATTGATCGGGACTCTACTGACAAGCTTTATAATTAACAGACAAAACTTCATTAAAGTTGCTGCTTATGGTGTTTTGGACTAACTCTCCTAGAAACTGTCAAAGCCCTTTTCTCCAGCATGCTGGGGGAACAATGGTGCTAGTAAATTAAAAATGCCAGTTAACTAAGGAGAGATTTGAGATGTGGGGTGGGGGTGCAGGGCATGGGCAGAGGGGTTGGTTCCAGCAGGGGTTTGGAACATGGGAGCTCAGGGTGTTGGATGGGGATGGTGGCTTACTGCCACCAGTCCACACAAGCAGCTCCCCATCTCTGATGCTCTTGACAAAGGCATGGCCAGGCTGCTCTCCTGCAAGCAGGCACACTGCCTCTGTCTGCAGGTGCCGCTTCCCACAGCTCCCATTGGCTGCGATTCCTAGCTAATGGGCTAGCAGCTGCAGAGTCAGCACTGGGGGAAGAGGGCATGGAGGCAGCATGCTTGCAGAGCCACCTGGCCAAACCTCCACCAGCAACAGCAGGGACAGGAAGTCACTTGTGGGAGCTGCCGGAGGTGAGTGCACCCTATCCGACATCCCAAACTTCTCCTGTTTCCCAACCCTTGCCTCAAGCCCCCTCCTGGGCAAACTCTCACATGCCCTGGGCTCCTGCCAGTCCCACACCAACCTGTGTGTGCAAATCAGAAATGCCAGTTTATTGAATTTGCTGGTTGGTGACATGCCAGATAAAAGGGCTTTTACTATATGCACATTTTAACTTACAGGAATGAAAACAAAGGAGGGTAGATTAAAGGTTCAAATACTCATTTTTTATATAATCTGGTAAATAAATACGAGTACACCACCATAATGCAGATTCAACAAACATAGCACTAGCTTTACCCTCTGGCACTAGTTTTAGAAATCAAAATCTTCTGAAGTCTGTGGACAGTAACTCCTTTTATGTCCTCCCATGACAAATAAGCAATAGTTGCCTATTAATTTCCTTGTCTCACTAAAAATCGAGACAACGTAGTCTTTAGAGCCCTGTAAAACCTCCAGCTCCACGGCCTGCTCCTTCCACACACCTGTTCACCTCATGAGCTCTTCCCCAGCAGCTCACTAGGTCTGCATGTTGACACGTCCTGTCTGGTAGATCCAAGGAAAGCTCTAGTGGCTCATCAGCCACCAAGGTGTAGGGGGCCTCAGCACCATGTCCCCAGAAAGGTGGAAGGGGCAGGGCTGAGGGCAGCCAGCCTTCAGTGCCACCCAGAGCACAGCACAGAGACCTCCGCCCAGCCCAGCCCTCAGAGCCATGTGGAGTGGTGCTCCTGTGGAATTTCAAAGGGGGCCAGAGCTCCTAACTGCTGCAGTAGCAGCAGCAGCCACCATGAGCTTCAGGCTCCTTTGAAACATCAGACCCCTGTACAATTGCCCCCTGCGTCTCCCCTTCCTGGTCAGCAGGCGTGGGACTCGTACTTCTCTCAACTTTCCTTGCCTAGTCAGGATTCCCTCCAGCGCATTCCCTCCCAAGATGTGGTCCGCAAAGGGAGAGGCACAGGACTCAAGTGTTTAAACGCCTGGCCGGAGTTGTGGCCCCAATGGAGGATTACCTCAGCAACTGTGCTCCGAATCCAGTCCACTACAGCCTCAAAGTCCACCAGACTAAATAGTGGCTGCTGCTTGAGGCGGTGTAGCTCTGCAGCGAAAGTGTCTTCCTGGTTCTTCAAGATGGAGCCTACCCAGGAAAGAGAAGAGCATCTGGACTAAAGTAAAAACAGTAAGATACTTTGCAGGTAAGCACCTGATAAACAGTCTTTGCCGAGGAAGGATGTATGTTTGGAACACAATGCCAGCTCTTCATGCCCCAGTCACTGTCACATTGAACAACACATACTTACTTACCTGCAGCTCTAGGCCATCTAGTAAGGGGAGCATTTCCAGAGAGAACTACTTGTCTCAACAGCAAACAAGTGGCTACTCCACAAGAAATGAGGTTTCCTGCTAGTTCCATCCCAATCCAGGACTCGGACCAGATTTTTTGATCAACTAAACCAGGGGTGGGGAACCTCAGGCTCGGGTCTGGATGCGGCCCCTGGCTTGACTGGATCCAGCCTCCAAGGCTCAGCCCCCAGCAGTGGGGAGGTGGTGCTTCAGCCCTACACCTTGCTGCTCCACTGCAGGGCTGGAGCACACAATCTACTAGGCTGCCTCCCCCACCCCAGGTTCCGGTGCATGAAGGGAGTATCTTTTTCCTGCTTAGTCAGGGGTTATGTCAGTGAGGATCTCCCCCCCTCTTGTGTGCAGCCCCCAACTGATTTTTCTGTGGGTCAGTGGTCCCCAAACCATAAAAGATTCCCCACCCCTGAACTAAACCCAAGTCCTCCTCATCAGGGAAACTGTTAAATGTTTTTAGCCTTAACTACACACAAACATTGAATGAAGCACCCACAGAAGAATGCATCCTCACTAGTCATCTTCCCCTTGCCTAAGGCTTGAGACTACACTGCACTTCCCCATAACCGGCTGAGATGCAAGCTGTCATCTTGGTCAGCTCAGCAGGGACAACCGTCTCAGCTGGCAGACCTTAGCCTGCTGGCTGCACTTCCCATTCTGCTCCTGCCTCCACACCAGGCCCTTGGGAAGTGGCCCCCCACAGAATCATTGCTTCCCCAACAGTTGCCTGGTAAGTTTTTGCACATGGATGTGAGATCTCTTTCAATTCACTGCACAGGAGTAATAACTTTCTCCACTATGAATAAAGCCTTTATTGGGAGTCAACTATGATCAGATTTGTCAAGGACACAAACATTGGAGAAGCAAATGTAAAGGGACAGACAAAATGCAAACTAGCTGGGAACAATCTGAGCAGGGGAAGAATGGAGATTTGATCCTAATAAGTTATGAAGTTGTTTGTCCAGAACATGATCACTGTTGTCCCTGTACTGGCATCAATGCTAACCCCCAAGTTGGGACAGCTGGGTTGAGTAAGTATGAATGGAACTCTGTGGCAGGTCTCAGAGAAGAAAGCATTCACTGTATCAGCTCAGAGCTTGCCTTCTCTGATAGAACAGGCTTCTACACTACAAGGAGCTGGAATAGCATGTATATCACTAACATGATTGGATACATATCTCTAAGCCTCTTATATCCATCTAGTGCCATGTCACTTCTGCAGGAAAGCAGAGACACTTGCGGTGGGGGTGGAGACTAGGGAACTGAAGGAGATGGAATTTGGGCATTCTTTTGGCAGGCTCTTTGGTGTGGATATAGACAAGCTTTTTTCTATGGAACACTGACGGTGGTTTAAAAGCTTCAGGGGGTAGCCGAGTTAGTCTGTACAGGATAAACTTAAACAACAAATAGTCTGGTAGCACTTTAAAGACTAACAAAACATGTAGATGGTATTATGAGCTTTTGGGGGCACAACCCACTTCTTCAGATGACCGGAGTGGGTCAGCCAAAAGTACTTGAATGCACACTCTTGGCTGCTGTGAGAACCACAACTTCAAGAGTTAAACAGGAGTGGGGGAAAGTACAAACCCCCATGGCTTCAAAGCATGATCTGTAAGTGCCAAGAAAGTGCTGGGTCTTGCACTGAAGGTGGATCAACTATTTAAAACTTCTCAGTTGGGTCCAGACAAACCAAAGAACCTAGTATTAAGATATGTAGGCTACAACTCTTTGGAAAGTGCTCTCGAATTAAACAAACTGAAGAAAGATCATGGGACTGCCAAGTTTTGGCAAAGAGCCAAGTAAACAAGCCAGACAGGGTCGCTGAGTCTTACCTTTTCTAGTCAGGTTTACATTTTGATTCTCGAACATCTGTACCGACTCTCCCACAAAGAGGATCTTCTCAGCAACTCTCACAGGGATGTATGATGGTAACATCTCCACTCGCAGAGAAAACTGTTTCAGAGATGGTGCTAACATGTTCTCCTCCTCAATCAGACGCTATCACAGACCCCAAGGAGATGACCAGGAAGCAGCAGAAAACATAAGGCCAGACAGAGAGAAGGGTTGGGGAAACAGAAGGAAAAGTGCAGGGAAGGGGGAAAAAAACCAAGAGGAAAACCAATGTAAATAAAGTGGGGGAAAAAAGGCCAATCAACCCCACATTATTCAGATACACTGATTCCAATGCTGTTTTAGCCAGTTTCTAATCTATGCCAGCAGTCCCTCATTTCTTGAGTAACTTGTTTCCTTGATAGCTGCACACAAGGCTTTATGAAAATACAGGGCTATAGCAACTGACTCTTTTATTCAATATTCAGTTAATATTCAGAAACTCTATAAAGTAGAAGTGTATGATTTTTCTCTTAACAGGAGCAATGCTGCTTTGACCTTATGAAAAGTTTCAGGGGGAGCCATGCTAGTCTGTATCTTCAGAAACAATAAATCCTGTAGCACCTTAGAGATTAACTGATTTATTAGGACATAAAAACCCATGAAAGCTTATGCCCTAATACATCTGTTCATCTGTGAAGTGCCACAGGATTCCTTGTTGCTCTGCCCTTATGTTAATCTAGATATTTCATAACTCTCTAATCAGTGTTTCAACCTATTGTCTGGGTACAGATGAGTATGGTTCATTGATCCATAATCCAAAGTTCACGTAAGTACCATTTTTAAAGACCTGTATTGTTACTCTCTGCTTCCCCAATTCAACATCTGATTTCAGGAAGTATTTGCATATTTTTGTCAAGTATCAGAGGGGTAGCCATGTTAGTCTGGATCTGCAAAAATGAGGAGGAGTCCTGTGGCACCTTATAGACTAACAGATGTATTGGAGCATAAGCTTTCGTGGGCAAAGACCCACCTTGTCAGATGCATGTAATGGAAAAGATGCACTACATGCATCTGACGAAGTGGGTCTTTGCCCACAAAAGCTTATGCTCCAATACATCTGTTAGTCTATAAGGTGCCACAGGACGCCTCATCACTTTTGCATATTTTTGTTAGCAGTTCAGCCACTCTCTTTTCAAGTCCCTCCAGGGCTCTTAGATGAAGACTGCTCAGTCCTAGAGACTTGTTTTTAATTTATCCTTTTGACACATCAATCTGAGGTTGCCTCATCTTTCTTATCTGAAAAAAGTAGACATGAGGCAGGAATCCCAATATCCTCTTTGGTGAAGACAGCGGAAAACATATGAGGCTCCTCTGCAATGTCTTCATTCTCAACACCTCTTTCACCTCCTCGGGATTGTGCAGACTCACCAATTCTCTCAGACTCCCTGTATGAGAACTGAAATAATGTCTTGGTCTGTCTGTCCTTAAAAATCCATTGTAGGTCCATCCATGTGTGTGTAAGCTAAGCTAGATATAGCTAGGCTCCCTTGAGTCTCCCACCGGTGGCTGGATCAGCTAGAGCTTTGAGTCTGCTACTGCCTCTAAGCAATCCCCCTCCACACTGCACTTTCAGGCCATCTGAACAGGCTTGATCTTAAAACAGAAGCCTCAAAAGGTTCATTTGTTTGAATTCAGTATCCAACTCAAATCTAACAGGTGTAACTGCTAGAGGACAAAGAACCATACTGTGCTAGCCAGCATAAATTACCCTTCATTTGCGGTATGCAGTATTGTGGCACAAGTGAAGATGTGGAAAAATTCTATCAGGAGCTCAAGGAAATGTGCTCTCAAAAACCCATATACAGAAAAACTTGTGCTATCTGGAACTTAAGCAACTGGAAAACTGTAAAGACCAGCAAATTTTTGATGCTGGGAAAAGAAAAAAAGAAACTTGCCCTTTCACTTGGGGGAGGGGCAAACGGCAGCTGGAAGTAAGCATCTTAGTTCCCCCATAGCTCTTGGCACCCCTGGCAGGCCAGCTCCCCCCACCCCACAGCTCCTGCACACCCCCCAGTCATCTTCACCTCCCAGCTTCCACCCTCCCTCACCAGGCTGTATTCTGTGCCCCCCTTAGCTCCTGTGGCTCCTGGCACCTCCAGCCATCTCTGCCTCCCGCTTTCTAACCCCCCTCACCAGGCCGCATCCCGTCCCCCCTCCCGTGGCCTCTCCTAGCAGGCTACATCCTGGCCCCCACACAGCTCCCGTGCCCCCCCCCATAGGCACCGCCCGGTTCCCCCCCTCAAATAACCAGAATTTTTAGGTTACCAGCGCACCCTAATCCCCGGGCGTGCCAGATAACACAGATTTTACTGTATATGATTGCGATGGAAGACTTCAATGTCAAGGTCTGAAGAGGGAAAGAAGGTAAGAAGTTTGAGGTGTGGCATTAGTGAACAGATTCCACAAGGAGAGCACCTGGCAACCCCAGGCGAACATAAAAAAAAGGATAGAACAGGAATGGAAGTGCTTTGCAAAGATTTCCACACCAAACCGTTCTCATCTCAAATATCCCACTACCAACACTTCACAGACCAAGAAGTGCATATTCCCATTCTTCATCAGCAAAGTTCCTCATTCAGTTTATCAAATGAAGGAAGGAAAAGTTCCTGAAAAAGAGGGCCTTAATTATCGAAATAAGAGCTGGATGCCAAGATTTCTGGGAAACCCTTATTCAGAGACTTAGCAGGAAATGTAGAAGACCATCTAGCTGAGAGTCCAACACCATTTGCTGTACAAGGGCGACTGGGAAGATCTGAAGAACTATCCTTCAATATGCCTGCTTCTACACGTCCACAAGCTAGTCACTCAGAATCTGGACAAGCAGCAGGTAGGTTTTCAAAGGAATTCCAGCTATTGGAGTGCTCAAGGAAAAAAGTGTTCAATAGTAGAGTGCTGAAAGCTCTCTCAGAGCAGGGCATTGATACAAAATACATCAAACCACTAAAGGAATTCAATTCTATCAAGGGGGAAGGAAATCAACAAGGCAACACCTGCCATCCTGACTCAAAAGGGCTCTCCGCAATGTTGTACAGCAGCAAAACCTGGGCGCCAACAAAGACAGAGGAACAACAGTTATCATGGATACGGCAATGGAAAAAAGAATTTGGGGAGTTTCAATCTATGACTGAGTCCCTAAGGAAGTGATCAGACAGCAGAGTGGAATGCAGGATGTCACTGAAGGCAGGTATAGTAAAATGCAATGGGCAGGGCATATAGATGGGTTCACTGGCAACCAATGAAGGGCAACGGTCATCAGGTGGTTCCCCCAGTAACTGAAACAACCATTGGATAACCTCCAAAGAGATGGGAAGATTTTCTTGTGAAAAGGCATGCTCACACATGGAGAAGGCAGGCCAGGGATAAGGGACGAATAGAAGACGTGTTGTGATCAGCCCAATTTATGTGAGGACTGAACGACTGATTGATCAAGGTGATGCAGTGTTGTTGTCTTGGTCCCAGCATCAGAGAGAGACAAGGTGAGTAAAGTTAGAACTTTTATTGGACCAACTTCTGTTGGTGAGACGAGCTTATATAGAGCCCTTGTTACAGGTCTGGGAACTGTACTTAAGTGTCACAGCTAAGTACCTTTCCCAGACTTGAAGAACTCTATATAGTTTGGAAACCTCTCTCTCTCTCTCACTACCAGAAGTTGGTCTAATAAAAGATCTCACCCTCCTTCTCTTTTTACTTGCTGTATTTGATCCTTTCTAATGCTTCTTTTCTGAAGGACACCTACTTAGTTTGAACCTCTTGGACTTAATCATTTATCCATGCTAAACTTTTTTCATTTTCTTATCTTCATGCTTCCTTTCTTGTTTGATGTATGTGTGCATTATATGTGGCATGATGCTTAAGACAGTCCATATCCCCCCACGTCTATGACATCTGTGTCTTGTGTCTAGTTTGTAGCTGCATATTACAGCATCCCATTGATTTCTTGTCTTACCATGGCTCATTAATGCCTGTTAAGTAGTGGCTTTCACACTGAAGCAAAAAAAGATTTCTGAACACATTCCCTAATGCCCTGAGAATGTCCATTCTTTGACCTGCAATCTCACCAGATCCTGCAGTTCTCGCAGCTGTTTTCCTGTTAGTCCCCCAATTCCCAAGTCGTCATCCTCTTCTTCAGGCTGGGCAGGGACATTCCCGGAAGAGGGGCCCTGTTTAACAAAAAACTCTTCGTGTTGGTCCAGGAGCAGTCCATGCAGCATCCAGGCAGAGAGTTGCTTATACATGACTCCATGACAAACAGCCAGGATCCTGAGGAACAAGACAAAGGAGAGTGAAAGAGGGCAGCATATACAACAATCAGAACTAAATACACATCAGCCAGCATGGCAAGAGCATTACCAAATGCAATTTGCTCATGGAAGAAGGTAGGTGGCATTGAGTGTGCCATTAAAATACTGTTACCTCCCTCACAGGAAGTAGGGTTGTTAGCCCTACTGCTCCTCCTCACTTAGCTGCTATCTTGAAAGTCTGGACTCTCATTTCCTCCTCCAAGGGAACACATTTCTACTAATATTCAACCAAATCACCCCATGTCTGAATCTCCAATCTATGTTCCAAGGGGTCCACTGACATAAAGTAACTTCTTCTATTGCCACTTCATTACAAATTGCATTAGGTAAAGAAAAAAGTAGAGGTGGGAGACACACAGACTTACGAAGCCAAACCCTCACAACCGACCCCTCATTAACAGTCTCAGCAGAGGGCCAGGAAGAATAAACTCTGATCTTCCCTAGGAAGTGCCTCAAGCTCTAAAGTGCCAGTAGGCTCACTCATGTGTGAAGGATGCTTGTACTGCAGCGATCTATCTTGTACCTGTCCTGTGCATAAACAGAAGACTTGAGCCTGCAGGGCTGTCAGCCCAGCACCCCACTCCTGTCTTTCAGATTGCACAGGGCTCTTTTTGCTATAGGTTGAGAAAGGAGACATTTGAGCATGAACTTTAGCTGTTACGAGAGCATACTAGCCAAGCAGTAATATTAATGAATCTCCTTACTTTTCTAGTGCACTACGCACAGGAGGCAGCCCACCACAACTGTGCTTATGGACAGTCTCCAGAAGTTGACAGCCATGAATCTGGGAGAAGAAACAAAATGTTCAAACTGGTTTTGCAGAGAGAAGTCTTCATGTGATGTTATACCAAATTTCAGACGTTCAAATGCTACCCCAACAGCTGAATGAACGAAGAAGGCTTTGCAAAGACAAGGAAATGTCCATGGAAGCAAAGGTCCTGAAGGGAACTGAAAAGGGGAACTATACTCTCCCTTCATACCCAAAGGGCCCAGCAAACTTGTGGACTCCAGTATACAAGATATCCCATAATCCTGTTACACACTGGAGTACAGTTTAATTTAATGGATTCTCAAGTCAGAAATCCTGCTTCATCTTTGGGATTTAAAAGACTCAAGAAATCCATCACTAACAAAGATGGCAAGAGTGTTACATGTGAATTAAACATGATCTAAGACAAAGGCTCTCTGCAGTCCCCTCTTCCAGCTCACCTTCTTGCATCCTTGCTCCATACTTGTCCCTCTGTGTCTCCATTTAATCCTGTCTCAGAATCTCTTCTCCCAACCACAGAAATGCACATCATTTCATTCTGACCAACTCCAATTACAGCCTTGCCAACTCACATCCCCCACCCCATCTTCTGTAAATTACAAAGGGGAAAAGAAGGGAATTTGGTATCAGTACGAGCTTCATGCTGCTGGGCTACGTCCACCATATGATTTTTTTTTTGCCTTAGTCTCTCCAACTAGTTATGTAAGTGACACCAAATGAGCAGTGTCCTAGATGCTGCACTGACACCAATGAGAAACTAATCCAGAGCCATTAGATAATCTGCCCATTTACAGGAGCACATATGGATGGTTCTGACCACCATAGCACCTATTTCTTGCTGATCCTTAAAATCTTTCCTTGGCCCAACCCATGCAGTCTCAAAGAAAGATACAAAGTCTGAAAAGAAAAACTGTTTCCTGAGGAGCATCATCTGCATATTTCCTTCAGGCTCTGTCAAATATCTGGTGATACTCAGATCATTTTAACTAAAGGAAATGGACATAAACAACAGATTCTACTAAGAAGAATCCAGCTCCCACTTACTATACCTTCTGGGTCTTGATCTGCTCCACCACAACCATCACCGAGGGGAAGAGGAGTTGGAACTGCAAAGCAAAGAACAAGATGTAAAATTAGACGAAGTACTCCTACGTGAAGAGGGAACGTTTGGGGCTAGTACAGACAGCAGCTAATTGTAGTGGTTTACCAGTCTATCACCTCACTGGCCCCACTTCGTGTTTTGGATATACTTGGAAGGGAGACCATGGCTTCTGCATAGAGATGAGATGATTATACCAGGATAAGGTGATGCTACTTTACCCTAATGTCAACAACTAGAGGTGAGGCTTATCTCGAGATTCTCTGGTCACTGTCTAAGGCTGTAACGGATGACAAGAGTTGTGCCAATGTGCTGAAAGTACTCTCTAGCTGCTGCTGAAGTTGCTCAAGATGATAAATTGAGAAGACTCCAATTTGAGGATAGGAAGAGTCACACTGGCTTCCCTCCTGTTTTGCAGCTAAACTGTAAATGGGACTTTTGGAGGCAGACAGAAACTGATGGATGGTTCAAGGGGGAGCTATTTACATTCCTGACAAGGCAGTAATGCTTGCCTCCGCAACTGACAGTCAAGAAGATTCTGTCACCACATAGGTAGGCACATCACCCCAACAGTTGTGCTCCATGGTGAAAAAGTCATTAAAAAAACCAAACTGGTTTGTAGTCTGAGAGCTAGAGCTGTTTAAAAATCAAGTGCAGGCTATAGCTTTCTGATATTTCTTAAATGTGATACATACTATCAGCTATTTCAATTTTGCACGAAGATGGAAATTGGAAACGAAAATTTATTTTTTACATGTACTACTATCCTATATATTAAGGCAAAAGATGGCACTAATACAATTTTAAGGCTCAGAAGTTAAGTGTACAAACATCAGCAATTCAGAATATAAAGTTCTAGTAACAATGGTAGCTCTGCAACACTGCGCATGTTATATATGCCCATAGTAAGGTGACAACAAATGCAATATACCTGATCCAGGGAGTAGTTAATGTGAGAAATGGAGAGGTGAGGGTCAGCCAGGAACTGTAACAAAAGTTAATGCAAAGCAAAATAAGTCTCTAATCAATAGCACTAAACCTAGGTGTAAAAAGGTAAAGAGCAAAATGAACCCTCAGATGCTTTGGAAAAAAGTCCCAGTAACCTTACCAGAGTAGGGATGTTAGTGGGTAGTCAAGCGGAGTACTTGACTACTCACTCCCTTCCCCCCAAACCCCACTTGCTGCCTTTGTATGGGAGGCGGGGGAGGGGAAGAGGCAGGAGCCAGCTCAAAAGCTGGTTTCCCTTCAGCACCATCTCTGCTGTAATGAACCCTCAGATGCTTTGGAAAAAAGTCCCAGTAACCTTACCAGAGTAGGGATGTTAGTGGGTAGTCAAGCGGAGTACTTGACTACTCACTCCCTTCCCCCCAAACCCCACTTGCTGCCTTTGTATGGGAGGCGGGGGAGGGGAAGAGGCAGGAGCCAGCTCAAAAGCTGGTTTCCCTTCAGCACCATCTCTGCTGT